GGGGGTGTTGCAACCTAGAAGACACAAATTTGACTAACAAGTTATAAGTACATGAGTCAAAAATTATGGAAAAGTAAAAGAAAGGATTCTTTCATTGTTTTACAAATCTGGGTCTTTAAATCAGACTTAAAGTTGAAACAGGTTTGTATCAAGTTATAGTCAAATACTCTGCTTAGTATATCGTATGTTGTGTAGTTTTCTGTACATAACAACAAACTTACTGCAGACACACAGAAGTATCTTTAATGATACACTAATGATAATATTTTTGATGATTACCTTAAAGTAAGTATGTGTTGGTTATTATAAATGATCATGTATACCTGGAAATTTTAATAAAATAAATGTTAATGTAATGATAAATTTAAAGTATCTTTGATGTAATGATATGGTAATGATAATGTTTTGATGCTTATCTTAATGTAGTGTGAGTTTGTTACTACAAATCATTGTGTGTACCTGGAGATTTAAATGAAATGCACAGGATTTGGGTTTATGAGTGTGTATGTGCTTAAATGTTGCCTGGGCTAATGTTATGTGGTACACAGCTATACATCTCAGATGATGCTGAGGCTATTTGGAGGTCTGTAGTTATGTTGTTCCATGTTTGAATAATAGATTAAATTGATCATTCTCACCTCTTTATAAGAAATCTGTTATTTATGATGATTAAATTGGTAGAGTTCCTGAAGTCTTCAGTTTTTACTTTCCTGGACTATATCTCACTAGATTATGGTCTTGTGTTTTCAATGTCTGATCTGAATTTTGTATTTGTGAGATTGAGCTTTTCTTTGCATTCATTCATATCTGTGTGCCTATGATGTACTTGTGTGTGTGTACATGTGCATGTACTTGTTTTTTTTTTTTTATGGCCTTGAGTGTCATTGCTATATTTACTTCATAGAGTAGGTTGGGAGTGGTGTGTCCACTTGCCATACAGAGGTAACTTGTGGTTGCTGTGAAGCTGAACACTGTGACACTGATGTGTCAAATGCGTTAATGGTTGGTTACCCATGGTAGACAGTGTTGGGTGGAGCTCCCCTGTTAAAACAAGCTTGGAAGCAGGAGTGGTATCCACTTCTGTAATAGCTTGCCTCCAGAACCTAGAACCTAGAGAGAGGATGAAAGTCATACAAGTGTTGAGGACTTTTTGTTCATAGGGTCGCTATGAGTCGCCCACGACTCATGAGACTTAACAACAACAACAATAAGAAGAACTTTAATATATTACTTATCTTATTTACTGCTGTAGAGTTGGAACCAACTCGTAGCTGACACGATAGGAGATTTTTAGAGACTATAAATCTCACAGAAGGAAATGACTCATCTTTCTCCCATGGAATAATTGGTGGATTCAAAGTGCCTGCGGCACTTGGTGATGCAGCTCTCTTTGGACTATTCCACCAGAGCTCTCTTGGAATATATTAAGTAA